TTTTCACAAGTGTCCGTCTCCTGTTTCGTCGAAGTCATCCTCCCTGGGGTTCGACCTCTCTGCCGTGTAGATCCATGTGAATGCAGACGTTTGCGATGATGATTCATCTGAATCTAGACCTTTTTCACAAGTGGGGCCTGATCAACACGAAGCTGCACACATCATCTTGCAGCTTGTCGCGATCCCGTTGCAATCGCAAAGGCCAGTGTCATCAAGCACAAAGTGCGCTGCTGTCTACCCAAAAAATAAAAAAGGATAAAAAAGGCGACGCTGTGTATGCCTCTAGAAATAATCGGCAACCAACTGGCCTAGCTAGCCTGGGGCTAGGTTCCACTAGCAAAGAGGATTGGATTAAGCTCCTGCATCTGGACCTGTTTTAAACAGAGATGCATGCAGAGAAGCAGTGTAATCTCGATTTTTTGCCCCTCTCCCGAGAGTCGGTCGCCCACGGCGACTCTGAGAAAATGGCTGGGAAACGTACTGGTGGTTTAAATCACCAAGTCACACGCACGTAAGTAGTGCTCTTATGGGTATATATGTATGTCGTAAGAGCATTTTGATTGGGGCAAGCAACCCTTTTTCTTTTTTTTTTGTAAGGCTCCTAGACCCTAATAGGGTAGGTGATACGAGCGACCCGCAGCCCCGCCCCTACTAGGGCCTCTTCGAGTCCCTCCATCTATTGGTGGGGACTTGCACCTGCTGGAAACGGGGTCCAGCAGCGTCCCATTTGAACACTATTTTGTTAGGAATAAGACAAATCTTTTTTAACTTTTTTTTTTTTTTTTTTTTAATAAATCTTTTTGAACTTGACTAGGCCGAGTCTGAAACTCTTCAGCTTTTAATTGGCGCCAAATCTATCTGTCGTTCCTGGCCCAGCTCCACCTAGAACATAAAGACATCAATCTTAATGATATGAAACAATGATCTTGGGGTAATTGCAGTTGGAGAAGGGGGGAAGGATATAGGAAGTCGTTCATCGAGTGCATGGGGATAGAGGGATCAACAGAGGTCCAGTCTTCAAATACCATCTGATAGTCCCTGCAAATCCCTTCTCCACTCCCTCCTGTAACCCCATCCCACCTAACCCTTCCTAGTGTCTCTCCCTGATTTCCCCCAACAGGCACGCAAGCCTTGGAAGGTAGCTATGTCTTTTTTTTTTTTTTTTTTTTTTTTTTTTTAGGCTCGTGTGAACTGGTGGTTCAAGGAAGCTCTCGAACGACATCTCTAGTCCATCAAAAGCCTCACTTGGCAAGCCACTCCCCTTGGAGTGTTTTGCAAGATGATGTCCACTCAGCTCGTGTTCGCACGTGAAGYCCMMCSRAWYSGRMYTYYYCYTTTTTTTTTTTTTTTTTTTTTKTCAATCAGACAGGGTACATGGAACATTCTCTGGAAACTGCTCCTTGACCATCCGGCCGTCCAACGGACAAAGTTTAACCAGGGTAATGGTATCCCCCATGATTAATCCCCCCCCTCTTTTGGATGGCATTTGTAAAAGTTTGTGAAGATTGCGTTGTGATGAGAAACGCTCTGCATTGAACCCATGGATACGCTGTTCATACCAGAACTTCTAATGACTTGCGGCCACTTCTGGACAGCTGATAAGACTGCTTCTGTGGAAACCAACTCAGTAGGAGCTTCCTTGTGAATGCTAATAAATTGGTGTACGGGTGAGATTCCCTCCCCTCCCCCCCCGCTAACCCAGCAAATCAGTCATCGACCTTAGCAGGTAGACTCCTCTGAAATTACTTTCACGTGTCCCTGTCCTGACTGGTTATTCCCCTCTTTTGCCACGTCCATTATGCTGAGGAAGGTGTCATTCAAACGCTGCATATCTCTGGAACATTGAAATTCATGCTTCTGTTTTCAGTATGCGGTAAGAACCTTGCTTACCGTGTATATCTGCGCTGAGCCATAAGAAAGAACTAGAGCAGAATCTTGCCAGAATCTGATGACATGTTTGGTGTGCGATTTTCACCCGGCTTTCTTTCTTTCCTGTGCTTCAGTGCTCTGTTGCTGCAGGACAGGCTGTGTTTCAGAGAGTGAAGTGTGCGTGCACGTGAGTGTGTGTGTGTGTGTGCGTGTGTGTGACTGTGATATACCGGTTGCTGTCCACATGGCAACGCATACAAGCGACCATGTGTTGCAGCAATGGTTTGCCTCAGTGGACATGGACCGCAGCGGTGCTGTGAATGCAGACGAGCTGAGGAGAGCACTGGCTGTAGGGAACCTTCACTTCCCAATGCGGACCATCTCTCAGATGATCAGGATGTACGATCGTGATAGCAGTGGACAGATATCATTCAACGAGTTCGTCCAGCTGCATAATTTTCTCTGCGAAGTTTCCGAGAGCTTCTACGCGTACGACAGAGATCGCAATGGTGTTCTGACCTTCCACGAGATTCTGGATGCTCTGAAGAGGCTCAAATTTAACCTCGAGTATCCAGCGCTGCAGTCAGCTTGTCAGCTGTTCGACCCTTCGCGCACAGGCATGTTGAAGATGGATGATTACATCTCCCTCTGCTGCTTTCTCCAACTTTCAGATCGCATCTTCAAATTCTATGACCCGGGGAACCAAGGGACGGTGAATCTGAATTTCAGTCAGTTTGTTTTTTGCGCTGGACAAGTGAGTTCCTGAGTTCATCTGTGCTGAACTCAAACCAACAGTGACCGGCAATGGGATTCTGACGTGGTGGAGGGTGTGCAAGTGCATGAAGAAGACACTCACAGAAGGTAGTGTGGTCTGTTGTGTGCCCAGGGAGGACAACAAACAGTGATTGGCAGTGGGGATTCTGACTTGCTGGATGGAGGGGAAGGGGGGGGGGGGGGCAAGTGCAGGAAGAAGAATATTACAGAATGTAGTGTGGTCTGTTGTGTGCCCAGCAAGGACAACAAAACGTGTACGTAGATGGTATGATAAGAACATAAGAGCTTGAGACGTCATGAGAGCACTGAACTGTTAATTAATGACTGCAAGAGCCGGCTTCTAGAGTGCACAAATGTTTTTTTTTTCTTTTTTTCTTTTTTTCTTGTTGAAGTGTGTGCTACTGGCGTTAACCCTTGTTAAATGACCAGTACATGCCAGCCAACGCCTGCGGGGCCCCTTATGGAGGCTGCCCACCGCGGGATTATTTTATCAACGGCGTGCGAGCCTCCAAAATTTTTGGAGAGGCTCAATCAGATTCTCAACTTGGCTGGGGCCATAAACTGGTGGTTTAAGCCACAAGTACGTCTGGGCCTTGGGCCTCCTCCCCAGGTGGATTTTTGCTGTGGACCAATTCAAGCTGAACTGGCCGCATTTGCCTGCCCCTGCCAGCATTTCCCGTCAAGTAGAGCTGACCTGGAACTGGGCCTGGTAGTGTTGTTGCCCCCCCGGTAGGCCTGACCCAAAGCGCCCGCCGTGTAGGAACAAAATAGCTGGTAAATGTATTGATTGGTAAGGACACGAAAGCCCCGGAGAAAGGCAGCTCACCTAACAACTGGCTAGCTACAAGTTTGTGCTACTGTACTCAGCAGAAAGGTGCGTAATTCAAATTATATGTTCTCTGCAGTAGGTCCTTATGGCCCTGGCTCCATATCCATTCTGGGGAGCGTCAGTCCGGTTCCTATTCCACGGGCAAGTTAAGATCTGTCTGGCCGAAGGATCCCTGATCAGCATTGATTGCTCCAGTAGTGTGGAGGATTAACTGTCAGCTTGCCTTGCTTCCATCTTTCCTCTCAGGTCTATCTAACTAGGATCTGTCAGGGAAAGTGAACTAAGCTTGCATAATTCAAATTATCTGTTCTCTGCAGTAGGGACAGTGAACTAAGCTATCTACTTAGCAGAGGGGTGTGTTATTTACGCAAGTCGAGCTACAAGTGGACGTTTATCATAGCCACTGCACACTCGCAGGCTTGGGTGTGGGGCACTTGGTCGTAACTCTTGATATCTGAGCTCTCCCCGTAGGGTGGTTTCTTGTATGGCGAAAGGGAAACTCTATTGGCTTTACTATACCCCAAGAGTTCTATGTACAATGTCCCACAAATGTTCCAGCAAAGAACCAGGAATAGAGTGCCTGGTCAACGCTAAAACCAGGAGTAGAATGCGTGGTAAGCATTGGTGTAACTCCTGGGAAATTCCAGGCGTGGAACATCAAAAATTGCAATGAATAAAAGAGGAGGGGTGGACTTCAAAAAAGTAAAAAAAAAAAAATAAACTATGCAAGGAAGATGCTTCTGTGGTTGTTGTCGACAGCACCAATTAACTTTCTGCCGTCTCCCACTGCTTGTGGTCTGGTGGCTGCCTATGCACTCTCCCATAACAGCCTCTCCTTTGCATCTGTGGAGGCGCGGGAGGTTGGACCTACGTTGTTTTATAGTCCTGTTTGGAATGAATTAGCTTGTGCTGGACCTGCTTTTGAGTGATTGCATGCGAACGCAACCTATAACTCGTCTGGGCCATCTTCCACTGCACAGGGTCGTGCTCATTACAGACTTCCGTTGCAGACATACAAGGATGATGTGTTTCATGCTTTCCTCTCTCAAGTCACTGGTTACTTGTTTGGTGGTACGCCAATAAAAGTGACGGGCTCATTGCCGAGTCGCCTGGCCCAGCTTTTCATGGTGTGCTCATTTGGTGTAGGTTGCTTGCTTGCTAAGTTGAACTCTCATGGATCTGGTCCACCGTGTTGTCTACGTGCATGGCTACTATCTTCGTCGGAATAAAGGGTATAGTCGTTGTCGCTGTACAAGCATGATGCGTTTCATGCTTTCCTCTCTCAAGTCAGTGGTTACTGGTTTGGTTTTGCGCCAATAAAAGGGACGAGCTCATTTCCGTGTGGCCTGGTCCAGCTTTTCATGGTGTGCTCATTTGGTGTAGGTTGCTTGCTTGCTTTGTTGAGCTCTCATGCATCTGGTCAACCATGTGTACTTGTATGGCTACCCTCTTCCCCCAAATAGAAGGTACAGTTGTTATTGCTGTACACTGAAAGCCGGCCTTACTTCTTAGTAGTTGTTGCGTTTTACTTCATTGTTTCTGTTGTTGGTATTGTTGGCTATACACATTGTCTTTCTTGTTTGTTTTTTCAAACGGAGTTGGCACCTAACACTGTGTGCTGTGGGTGATACCATGTAGGCTGGGGGGTTAGTGCTATGTGCACTGGGTGGTACCATTTAGGTTGAGGGCTGAGTGGTATGCGCACTGGGTGGTGTTATGTGCTCTGGGTGCTGAGTGATGTGTGGACTGGGCGATATCATGTAAGTTGGGGCCTCAGTGCTATGTGTGCTGGGTGATACTATGCAGAGTGGGCGGCACTATGCTGAGTGGGTGGTAGTATGTGGAGTGAGTAATACTATGTGGGGTGGGTGGTACTATGTGGTGTGGGTGGTACTATTTGGGGTGGGAGTGTGTGGAGTGGGTGGTACTAATGCTATGTAGGGTGGGTGGTACCTGTGCAGCATTGTGCTTGCGATCAGTGACCGAGCCCGAACATTCGTGCCCCAATGCGAACGAGCGCCAAAACCCTCGCGAACATAAAAATATGAAAAGCAGAATTAAAAAATCGGAAAAAACTAATATGGTATGTAAAAAATAATAGGAACGACTTTTGCCTGGGTGCCATGTTCAAATTCTTAGCCAAACATGAGTTAAAACACGTGTGGAAGCGTTTAGCTGAATGTCTGAACATGTTCGGTGGGCTACACAGGGTGACACTATGTGGGGGGGGAGTGTGGTGGGTGGTATGATGTGGGGTACGTGGTACTCTGTGGGGTGGCGGGTACGGTGTAGGTGGGTGGTATGATGTGGGGTGGGTGGTACTGTGTGGGGTGGGCGGTGCTGTGTGGGGTGGGCGCTGCTGTGTGGGATGGGGCGGTACTGTGTGGGGTGGCGGTACTGCGACACCCCAGCAATAGAATGGACCCATCACTTTGTGTACGTTTCCACCTCAGGGCTTCTCCTATCAGGCCTGAGATTGATGATTGAAAAAAGAGAGAAGAGTGAGGGTTGTACTATGTAGGTGATGATACTATGTGGGATGAGTGATGTTATGTGGAGTGGGTGGTACCATGTTTTTTGTTGGGTGGGCAGTACCATACCACCCTTCCTGTGACGCACGTGCAGGAGGGCACATGCGGCGGAGATGGTGTGAGAGAGAGAGAGAGAGAGAGAGAGAGAGAGAGAGAGAGAGAGAGAGAGAGAGAGAGAGAGAGAGAGAGAGAGAGAGGAAGGAGATGGACACACACGAGAAGCAGCAGCTGAGTGAAGGTCCAGTCCGCATGAAAGAATGAACGAACAAGTGAACGAGTGACCAACCTGGCCTGGGCCTAGGCCGGAGAGATATACCGGCCGTGGTCCAGGCTGGAGTAACCGGTACCGGACCGGGGTCAGGCTGGTGGCCTGAAACAGCGATGTCTCACGTGGTCCGTCCTCACTGCCGGGCCGAAGGGTACCGCTACATGATCCTCGGACCTGTAAATGGATCAAGCGATACATCAACACACTATCCATTGAAATAGCGCAAACCCAGAGTAGCGGCAAATAAACAATCCTAAATGCGGAGCAAGCTCTGTGCAGAAAAAGAGATGCAATGCAGACTAAGCCTTAAGCTTAATCTATATAACAATGTCTGGTCTGAATCGACCCAAAAAGCAGAAAAATGTCTGACCTGTGTTGGCCAAGAAAGAGAAAAATGTCTCCTAAGTCAATGTGGCTGAGCATATGTCAACACCTGAGCCCTAAAGGCTGATAGTAACAACATTAATATCCACACCGAAAAAGAATGTGGCACAGTCTCACGTGCCCTATACACGTACACAATAGCCGAATAGAAGAGAAGGAGCTCAGTCGCATGGGAAAGGTAGGGAAGGGTGGGAGGCGGCAAGTACAGCTCTCAGAGTAAACTCCAAGAGGGGACACACAAAACCATATGAAACATCATCAGGCTCAGAGGGAGAATAACAACACGACACCAGGCTCAATGGAAACGATCAAACGTGCACCGTTGGCTGAAAGGAAAAAGGGCACTCATACAAGGGAGCACAAGAGCAGGCCTTGAAGGATAGGGGGAGCTATATGACCAAGGGTTGCTAGCAAAGAAAAACATACACTTCAAAGGAGGATCCGTAGCATAGGGTAAGGCAGGAGGGCGGCAGACGAACATACCCTCATGGAAAGGGAAAACAGGGGTCATTATGCGATTGGAAGGTAAACTCGAGGATGGTTGATAGATGGGAAAAATGAGAACTTTGCGGTCGAAAAAGTGAAGTGGCGAGTCTCCAGACTGAAGTCGCGTCGAAGTAGCCAAGATGAAGTAGAAGTATCGCAGAAATAGAGTACAAGTTCGGAGCGCTGCAACATGTACTTCGGTACTGAAGAGAAACATCGAGGTCGAAAGTTGAATGTAGAAGCCGAATATAAAAGTCGAAACCGAGAGCTGCTACATAAATGTCCAAGAATGGTAATACGGGGTATAGGTCAGTCATGATAGCGAGAAGGAAGTTGATGGGTTCGCTGGGGTCGAGAGTAATCAACTGCAAGAGGAGGCGAAACCACATCCACAGGGGAAGGGAGACCGGAGGCAGATGTCGGTGGAGATGGACGACCCATCGATGAGGGAGGGGGTATGTTAGTGGTCACTGAAGTCGATGGGTCAGTAAGGACGAGAAGTAGGAGGGGAGGATGATGAAGGAAAAAGATGAGCATGATCGTAAGCACGAACGAAAGTCATGGCATGCTTTAGGTGCTCAAGAGGCTCCCAGGTAGACTCCTTGTCAGGATAACCCTTCCATCGAACAAGATACTCGAGGCGGGGAGGGKCATCATCAGTCATACGTCGGGATGAGATATCAAAGATGATAAACTCCTCGTGACCCTTAATGATGATGGGAGAGGGACGAGGGTAAGGTCGGCCGTGGAACTCAGGGGGCGACCGTCTAAAGAGGCGCAATAGAGATACATGAAAAATATAATGTAGGTTAGTGCGATAAATAGAATCGAGGAACTTTAATTTGAAGCTCACCGGACAGTCATGATTAGGTCCGGCGGGTGAAAGAATAATGCATGGATCGATATATATAGAATAATGCATTTTCGAAGCGTGTCGGCCTTGGGCTGGAAGTGATGTGCGTCAACAAGAGTTTCGTCGCCAACTTTGAAGGGGTGATAGATGAGGGAACGGTTGGCCTAGTAGCCATGTGAATCTGGGAGTCAGCAATGCTTCTGCGAGCGTTGCTGAGAATCTTATCCATCTTCTTAACCTAGTCATTAAGGGCGGGGCATTTAGTGTCAGGATGAATCTGAGATGGACGAAGGAGAGTAGATGAGACACGAGGGTGATATCCCAAGTCACAGTAGCAAGGAGACATGCCGGTGGCCGGTGAAATAGCATGGTTATAAGCAATCTCGACATGGGCGAGATGGAGGTCCCAATTAGAGTCACTCTCAACAAACTTCTTGAGAATATTCCCAAGAGTTTTGTTGGTGGGCTCAGTCTGTCCGTCTGACTGGGGGTGGTAAGAAGAGGAGAAGCGAAGCTCAGAGCTGTAGATCTTGTAGATCCACGCCAGAAGTGGGAAGTGAAAAGGGGATCACGGTGAGAGAGAATACTAGTAGGAAGACTGTGATGAATGATGATGCGGTTGCAATAGAGTGAGGCAATGTTTTTAGTTGAGCTAGCATACTTGCAAGGGAGGAAGTGAGCATGCTTAGTCAGCCGACAGACGACAAGGAAGATGGCGTCGTGGCCTCATGGGGTAGGGGGACGAAGGGGACCCATGAAGTCCATGGAGACAGACGTCCAACGTTGAGTAGGAATGGGTAACGGCTGAAAAAGACCGTAGGGGGGATGATTGGTAATATTGGCCTCTTGGCAGATCTTGCACGTGCGTATATACTCCTTAACGAAGGTGCGGCTGTGCCTCCAATAGTAATGGCGGTAGAGGCGGTCAAGAGTCTTGTAGACATCGGAATGACCGGCGACACGCTGATACAAGAGTCCAGAGGGGTCGAGCTGAAAGTTAGGGACGGTTTTGTCAGTCTGTAAGTCAGCGTAGATGGACTGAAACTCGGTCTGTCCGTCTGACTGGGGGTGGTAAGAAGAGGAGAAGCGAAACTCAGTGCCCACGCCAAAAGTGGGAAGTGAAGCGGGGGTCAGGGTGAGAGAGAATACTAGTAGGAAGACTGTGATGAATAACGATGCGGTTGCAATAGAGTGAGGTGATGTTTTTAGCTGAGCTCGCATACTTGCAAGGGAGGAAGTGAGCATGCTTAGTCAGCCGACAGACGACAATGAAGATGGCGTCGTGGCCTCATGGGGTAGGGGGACGAAGGGGACCCATGAAATCCATGGAGATAGACGTCCAACGCTGAGTAGGAATGGGTAAGGGTTGAAAAAGACCGTAGGGGGGATGAATGGTAATATTGGCCTCTTGGCAGATCTTGCACGTGCGGATATACTCCTTAACGAAGGTGCGGCGGTGCCTCTAATAGTCATGGCGGTAGAGGCGGTCAAGAGTCTTGTAGACATCGGAATGACCAGCGACACGCTAATACAAGAGTCTAGAGGGGTCGAGCTGAAAGTTAGGGACGGTTTTGTC